TCAATATCGGACTTGGAAACTTCGACGCAGCAGAATTACTACTCAGAGAGCTCGAGACACAACATGCCACTCCGATTGGTATAGACACGCTCTTTGATCAACAGCTACACATGCGTGCTGTCCTCGCTGCAGCTCGGATAGCCCACTTCAGGTTGGATAAGAACGTCGCCGTAACACGATGGAGGTACGCCCTGCAAGAGATTCAGCGTATGCACGCTCTCAAAGCAGAAGCCGGCTTCACGGCGGCGACGATACATTTGTCCTTAGCTCATGCGCAGCTTGCCGCCGGCGATGCAGTTGGCGCCTCAGCATCTTGGGCTGCTGGATCGGAGATACTCAAGACTGAGACGTGCGAATTTTGGCTTCCTATTGTGCCGACCGTTTGGCTTAACAAGGTTACGCGTAAGGTCTATGAAGCTCAGGGCTGGACGTTTCGCATGATGCTACCAGGTGCCAAACCTGATGCTACAACACCGTGATTTTTTAACATGATGTCGAAAACTCGATTTCAAGCGTTTGGAATGGCTAAATTGGATTTGAAGATTCATTTTTGCGCGGCGTTATGGTAGACAACTTCTAGAAACTTGCTTCCGACTCGGTACTGCCGTGCTTAGTTATGTACTCGAGAGGGAAGAATGAATCGCCTTCACGAACAGAATGAGATCAATGTAATGACAGCCCTTTCCTCTAGCAATCGTTGTTCAGTCTTTGTTGTCAGTTATTTAAGCTTACGTGGCCTACCTTACCTCATCAATGAAGCAGCTTTGATATGTTGACGGTAACCAGATACATCAATAAGATAAGAGGCGTGATCGGCCATATTCAGCATATAACATACCCAGACTCAGACAATTGATTAATCAAACTGGAAGGAATAATCATGTTGATGGAAAGAAACCTTTGCTCACTGTCTTCAACAGTCTGCATGGCCTTGGAAATTCTTGCTACTCTAGCTGGATGCTGCCATCACCTATTGCCCACAGGGGATGACCTCCTCCACAATTTCCTCGAATTATTAACCTATTCTTAGAATGGCTGTTTCCAGTCCACCTTGAATAGAGCATGGTGTGAACCAACAGGCTTGAGGACCTTTCCTACAGTGTTCGCATGCAGGTGGACGTGGCACAGATTCTATTTCACGTCCAAAACCGTTAGCAAACGTGTACTTCCAAGTTGAACTCTGGCAAGGGTGGGTCTGAAGCCAGAACGGGAGACTTACGAACGCATTAGTCCAACCAATACCCATGCAGTTCGAGACTCCGTTGCACTCAGACTTCAAACAGTCCCACGGTGTACGGTAGACAGCGGTCGAGATTACCTTCTGCCTCGTGTTCGTTGTGGCCACGCCGCACCTTCGCTCATACTCGACGCCTTCGATGGAGAATCTATCCGCGCATTGCCTACTGCCACACATGGCTTGCCACGACGTAGTCTTGCACTCAGCTTCCTGAGGAGACCCTTGCTGGTTGCTCTGACCCTGGCCCTGTTGATTTTGGCATTGTTGTAGTTGCTTTTCGATGGCAGACTTCGAGGCATCACACTGCGTTCTAGCGTCGGTGAGCTCTCGAGACTTTTCTGCATCGCATTGCGTTCTAGCATCAGTAAGCTCCCGAGACTTGTCGGCATCACATTGCGCCTTGGCATTGGTAAGCTCTCGCGCCTTATCGGCCTCGCACTGCGTTTTCTCCCGTGCAAGCGTGGCCGCCTTCGTCTCAAGTGCTGTCCTTTCCTGATTGCAACTCTCCTCCGCCTTCCGGACATCATCTTTGCAGCCAGTCTGAAGCTTTTGCTTCTCGCTTTCGCACTGAGATGCCATCTGGCTCCGGATCACGTCTTTTTCGTTCTCGCATTCGGCTGCTTTATCGTGGCCAGTACCGCCTGATGTGGAACCATCGAAAGCCTCGTCTGTCTTAACGAGGAGTATGGAGTCGGTCTTATCGTTAGTGACGGGCTTGAAGGCAGCGTTCGTGCTTATATAACATTTTCCTTTAATCCAGGCTGCTGCAACACACTGAGAATCCTGGGCGCATGCCTGGGCGCAATGAGCAGGCGTACGAGATATGATCGTAGTCTTGTAAGAGTTTGATGGCCAGGATGCACAGGTATATTGGAAGGTGCTACCACCGATAACATCTTTCCCAGAAGATGTTTGTGTGGGGCAACATGACTTGTAGCTTGGGGATGAAAGACAGCTGCCGTTGTCGCCGGTGAGGGGCGCCTGCTCAGCTGCCAAGACCCCGATTATGCTTGGAGCAAGAATAAGTGTGACCAAAGATAGGTGCATAGTGGTGGAACATATAACAGAAGTAGTCTAGAATGAGTAGAGTCGAGTCGGCGACCTAAGGAAGTTCAACCAAAGCAAATAAGACGGATTCTCAGTGCGTGTGAGCAGGTCTCCGATGAGGGTGTGCAAGTGGTCGAATTTATTCTTTTGAGGACAATTTCAGAAGTATTCACAGCGACACTCGTGATTCACCTGATAAACACAAAGTCCTCTCCAATCTGCAGACACAGTAATACTATTTCGAAGAGATAGATCGGCTTCTCACGTGCCGTGTTCTTGTCCAAAGATGCCGACAAAATGCACGCATCACCTTGTATTACACTACATTGAATATGGCTTCTTGTCTTACCAATTTCTTAGACCAACGTCGGTGGTAATTGAGGCATCAAACCTCTGATTGGTTATACTGAGATTAGTAGACTGATCTTTTAGTAGGCCGCCACATCAATGGAACAATGAAGGCAGCCAATACGATTAGTCTCACTGGATTCATGACTGTCTCTTCATCGAGGCGGATTCGCAAACGCCACGATAGTTTGCGTTGCGTTACGATCACCATCATAGCATAACTCAAACTCTGAAATGTCCGACTATCCGACCAGCCGGCACACCTGAAGCCTAGTTGTAAGACGTAAGCTTTTAGCTTCACGCGTGAGAGAACCATTATTCGAGAAACTTGAATCCACATCCGGAAGTTCCCAGAGCATCGACATTGTTCAACGCACTCACCATGATGTCACTGGAAGACTGAGATTCTTGATACTGTTGTTTCCGGAATTCCACTAAGAGCTCCTACAAACTGTAGCTCTTGAGCAGGTACGGCTCTCCCCGCCGACCGTACACGCTAATTCGCTGAAAGACAGCCTCACTGTCTCACAGATGGCTTGTCAGGGACCTTAGAGCTGTCCGAGGCGGGCAGTGATTCGTGAGGCATGCGGTTAGTTCAAGTCGATAGCCGGGCAACTGGATCGTCCCGTTCCTTAACATTGTCTCAAAGTACCCCGCAGCTTCATTCCAAACCGGCGATATCATACGCTCTCAGAAACGATCTACTATCTACGCGGCCGTTTGAAAGACATTCTATCAGCTCATCTCCCGAGATCTGTGAACCAAATCCATGGTTTGGAACAACGTTCAACAGAAGCAACTGCCAATGAGAATGCTGGATGTCTGCCACGCTCTGCGAACATCGTCAGAGCTCAGACGTTGCGAAATGGTAAACCAAACTAGACCAAGTTCATCATTAATTGTTTGGTCCCAAGAGCTTCAGATACGGCCGTAGGCACAGTTGGACCTCCTCGAAGAACCATGTCTCGGTAGATCCCTTATCGAGATAGATGATCTACCCGATAAAAGTGTCTTGCCCGCACGACCACTGCCACAGTGGAGAAGTCAGTACGCCCATAGCAATTCTTACCATTATCTCAACGAATCGTATTCGACGGAAGGAACTCCGACTTGTATCGGCTTCTCGGAAGCGACGCTGAAGATCGACATGACTATTGAACCAGCCAGGCCTAATCAGTAAGTTATCCCATTGGATTAACGATGTTGAAGCCCAGTCGTGTTTGGTACCGAATGCATTTGTTAATGTTCCACAAAAGCAAATTCTTCCACAACCTCCATGTAGTAAGACTGTGGCTTATTGGTCTCAAACTCTAAGGGCCTTCAATGTTGAGCTCAGCATAGAGGAGACTTAGAAGAGTTGCTTCTTGCCTTTGCACTATGTCTCTCTAGCTCCAAAAACGAAATCTTGACTGGGCGTTGATCTCGATAAGGGTTCAACTCTTGAATATCACTTCCAAGAGAGCCCTTCTGAGTGATAGAAAACCACACAACGTTTGCGGACAATAGGCAGGCCCGGATGAGAAAGATTGCGGATCATGACGTGTACTTTGCAAGAAAAATGCGCCGGTCTACTCCTCCGCTGTTGTAAATGGAATTGAGAACATTGCTATGTCGGCGGCTCGCCGGTCTTAACAGATCCAATCTCCCGTCTTGTCTAAGGCTCTCCATATCATCTCATCCCGCGATATGTAATACAAGAAGAGTATCAGGCAATCAACACCACTCTTTTTGTGTTCTCCAAAAGCATCTATCAAGCTCCAGTTTTGAAATTTTTCAAAATCTATTACAATGGTGGCCTTTCAAGCGGGCCTCATTTCTTTTCTCTTTGCCCTCCAGGCAGTAGCTGACCAAATACCACTTGGGTCGGCAGTACGCAACAAATGGACTCTGGACGCAATCAAACCTCACACCGATCCAGAGTCCGGCCGCGTCAAGTGTTGCCCGGAAGGAACCTTATTCGATGGCAACTCTTGCGTCCTTGGCGTTCCAAGGTGCCCAGACGGCACTAAGCTGAGAGGTAGTCACTGCATCTCTATCACTGGCCCCATCTGCCGGGATGATGAGACCTTTAATGGGCTTGTCTGCATCACGAGCACCCCACCATCTTGCCCTTCCCCGTCGACCCTGAAAGACAAGGCTTGTATTTTGGAAATTCCACCGAAGTGTCCTTCTGGCACAGAGTTGGCCGATAAAATCTGTATCTCGACCAAGTTGCCCATCTGCGGCAATGGGGATCGGTTTAACGGCAAAGGTTGTGTCAGTTCCACCCCACCAGTGTGCCCTGACGGCACGAATCTTTCCGATGGAGTATGCATCAGTATCGTACCACCCAGTTGTCCCGCCGGCAGCGAATACGACGAAATCAACAATGTTTGTAGCCATCGTCAACCTCCTCAATGTCCAGTTGGGACCTTCCCCAAAGGAGGCAACTGCGTTACCGATGGTGGCCCCGAATGCCCGACCGGAACAAGGTTCAGCGTCAAGAGAAACACCTGCATCATGAAGACACCGCCGTCGTGCCCCCCTGGCGATACCCTAGAAGACACGAAATGTGTCTCCCAAGACAAACCTGTCTGCTCACCTGGGACGGAGTTGTCTACCGACCAGGCTTCAAGCACTTCACGGTGTTGCCCACCTCCCCTAAGGTGGAACGGAGACATGTGTTCATACAAAGTCCCTCCTGAAGGATGTCCGCCAGGAACGAAACAGGTCGGCAACAGATGCACGGCTATCACGGTCTTTCCCCCATCATGCCCCCCCGGATTCAAGCTGGACTGCGCCCGATGCATCTCTATAACACCACCGGGGTGTCCTCCTGGCTCGGCTCGCGATGGGACCACTTGTATCTCCGTAGAGCCACCCATCTGCCCTGATGGCACGACACTATCCAACGGGAACTGCGTCCACAAGGGCGAAGCTGTCTGCCCCGAGGAAACTCACGTCCAGGGTGACGAGTGTATCAGCATTCAGCCACCCTCTTGCCCTTCTGGAACCACCTTTAATGGACGAGACTGCGCTATCAGTGGCCGACCAGAATGTGAGGACGGCAGCCACTTCGACGGTGCTGACTGCACCCGAGTAGGGGGTCCCCCTCCAAGCTGCCCTGAGAACACCATCTACGACGGTTCACGCTGCGTATCAATCACTCCGCCTACATGTCCCAAGGGATCGTCTCTGAGCGACGGAGCATGTGTCACCGGGCAAAGCCCGGTTTGCCCCGAGGATACGACGCTCGTCGGCGGCGAGTGCATCAGAGGCCCGCCTGCCTGTCCAAAAGGCCTCGTCCTGAAAGGTACAACCTGCATCAGCATCGACCCGCCGGACTGCCCACCCGGTCACCAGTGGCGTGGCGGCCGGTGCCAGGATACTGAAGAGAAGACCTGTCCTCCTGGATACATCCTCAGCGGGGAGGAGTGTATTTCCGATGAGACACCAGAATGTGACTTGGGCACTCATTTCAACGGAACTGTCTGTGTCGGTGACACTCCGAGTTGTGAGCCTGGAACAGAGTTTGACGGAGAGCGGTGTGCGGCCACCGTGGAACCTAGTTGCCCTCCGGGTACTCACTTCAATGGCAAGATCTGCGAATCTGAGCAGGAACCCGTCTGTCCCACCAACACTACATGGGATGCTGATTCCAAAGAATGTGTGGGCCAGACCTTGCCGCAATGTCCCGAAGGCCAGAGATTCAACGGGGAGCATTGCACTTTGTCATCGGGAGACTGCATGGAGTTTGAGTACTGCCCTCCGGGAATCAATCGTGGTTTTCTCACGCCTGATTGTGGGAGCTCTTATCCCAGATGCCAGTAGTTTGGCAATGCAGGACTGGGAATGATGGGCTGGTGTACCTCAATAACTTGAAGGCCTTCCTATGGGGAGAAAGCCAAATTATTGCTCCGCCGAAGTCTCGACTGAAGAAAAACTACAGTTCAATGCAAACGCCGGTTTTCTGATAGACTTCCATAAGAAATGCAACATTCATATTACTCTATGTGTCATATCTCAAAATCATTACTCGTTGAATGCACACACTGAGGCAATCGTAACTTTTCATGGTCGTGGTTCTCTTATTTTAGATGATTTAAATAAAAGCTCCAGCAAAGCTAGTTACACGATGGTGGTGCAAAGATCGTAGAACTTCACTTGCTGTAACCTACTAGTACAGGGAGGCCGTTTGTTGAGCTTGGCCGAACTCCATCTTTACGGCAGACAAGTTTCTACCAGCTTAATAAGTCCGTTTCTATTGAGAAAACTAGGGCGAGAAAAAAAGAAAACGATGGCCTTAACAATATGAGGCTACAAGTAATAAGAGTAAGCAGATACCAAGTATGAAGCTACGGGAGAGTTCAAGACACCAGGGAATGGATGCAAGTACACCTCGAATTATAACGAAAACTTTTCTTACGTTAATATCAGCAACTAGACTCATCTAACTGAATTGCTGAGGGAGGATTCACCGCAAAACTGTAGACCTTTCTTAAGGTGGACCGATCAAAGGCTTCGGTGATTTCATCCTGTCATCCTTCCTCTCCTAAGCCTTTTCCCAATTCCACTTTTCAGGCCAGAGAATAATACGTCTCTCAAAGATATTTCCATCCCGACAACAATAGGGTGTTTGTATCTGGACTCGAGGCTACTTTCTCCAGAAACTACTCAATATCTCGTAAGCTGAGGCCAGTTCATGAACCGTCAACTGCGATCAATTCAGTTGACCTCCACGGTCTTCCCGCAACAAGACTTCAGAGTACGGCATCCATGAGGTCATTCGTCGGTAATTAACTACGAAGGATGGAGCACCCCCTGTCACTGGGATGAAAAGTCATATTGCAAATTGACTCTGATCGAGGTGACTCACACTGCCAAAACATTCTCTCGCAAATGCCTCAAGATACCTCTCGAGACCGGCATAGTCTTGATCAAACGACCAGTACTTCGCCAGATGATAGTGAAGGTCGAATCAAACGGCCCTGCGGACTAGACTCGTCTTTGTGTTACGGACGCTGCGTCCTGACCAGCGTTCAATTTTCTTCTTTCATTTCTCTCTTTCAGAACAAATGTCGCAACTGCCGCCGGAACTGTTAGGACTCATCATCTGCATTCAGAGCTCTTTCAGTCAAACGATTCACAAGGGGCTGGTATTGCTCCTCTTTGAGTAGCAAGGCCTGAACCCACAATGACATTGAAGCTTTCATTGTCCAATACAACACAGTGCTTTCATGTTGATCTTGGCTCTATTTCAAGCTGAATCTTCCCTACTATGCTTTTTATCGTGTTTACAGCTCTCGAAATGAGACAATCCAAGTTGATTTTCCAACGAAATGAACAACAGAATACAAAAAATGTTACAGCTGTGTTCAAACATCTACAGGCCTTAGCAGGACTGATTTTGAGGATATGTCCCCTTAAACTTCCTGAAACTCATGCTCCGACTTCATATTTCTCTCGTCAAATTATTTCCTCAACCACGGGCCCCAAGAAGTCAAACTCACCTATGTAGATCAGTGGCTAGGCAGGTTACCTCGCCACAGTGATAGCTTTCTGGTTTTGAAGAACGGCGCCAAAGCATCTGTTAGGAAAGCTGCGAGCACTGTGGGAGCAACCTATCTCCGAGAAAGGGCAGGACTTGTATATCCGCTATTTTACACTTCAAGTTTACCCGGCTTCGCATAACGCGAAAGGTATCTCCATTCCCAGTCGCACAATAGGCGGAGACACCTTCTTCAGACTATAGTTAAAGGTGACCATATCTTAAGGGCAACAACTCGTCTTTTCCTCCCAATAGGCACCTTTACTCACGTCCACGTTGGTTTCACTCAATTCTCTGCGACGTTCAAGATTTCTCTCACGAGTCTCGTGAGCTTTGGTCTACACCTGCTCCTTGTGTCTCAAGCAGCTCACTTACACGTATACCAACAACCCTGCTCAATACTCGTCACCGATATTCACAATGTGTAGCACCACCGTCCTGGATACCATTGAACTCGGTCCCTTGGACCAAATCGCCCCGCGAATTTACGTGCGATCGATCTTCGTCTTCGACCAGGATGGGAAGTACACCGAGGAGACAATTTCCCATCTCAAGCTTCGCTTCGGGATTGCTCTTGCCCGTTGGCCCTTCTTGTCAGGCCAGATTGGCCCAGCCAGTAACAGTTGTCGACCAAATGAACTAGAGCTCACCTACGATCTGCTATATCCCCAGATCAACATGGATCAGCGACCAGACATCTTTGCATATAGCTCAGTTGAGCACCTTGGAGGTCTCGATTACCAAAGTCTCAAGGAGCGTGGCATGCCTCCTTCATTCATGGACAAGGACATCCTGTCCCTCTCTCCTAATCACCCAAAGCCGGGTAAATCCTGCCCTCCTGTTACATTGAAGATTACAGAGGTTTCTGGAGGAGGTCTCTTTGTCTGCTTTTCTACTCATCACGCAATCTTTGACGGCGGTTTCATCAAGGCGTTTCTTGAGTATTTTGGCCAGGGCCATGATGAATACCCTGAGCTTGCCTTTCTTGACGAGGCGATTGAACGTCCGCTCATGTCCCCTTATATCTCCACCAACATCTCAAAGGCTATGTTCCCAGAGTACGACTTCAGCCCCAGCAACACCGTCACCAGCACCCACAGCATTTCAGAGAAGGCCCCCAAAGCAGTCTGTGTACTCTTCAGCATCCCGAATGAGATACTCTCCGAAATCCACAGCGAAGCCCTCGCTCATGTACGTGGGAAGCACGGTGAGAAAGCCTTTGTCTCAAAGGCAGACACCCTCTCCGCCCTGATCTGGGTCCACGTCACCAGATCCCGCTTCGCCCACCTCTCGGAGCAGGACCACACCTCCTTCACCACCGCCGCAGATGCTCGCCCCCGTCTATCCCCTCCTTTCTCCCCTGGGGCATGGGGCAACGTATACACACAGACCACCACTGGCCAGATACCAGTAGGGGACTTAATTCAGACCTCTAGCTCCGGCATCCTCTCCTGCGACGCCGTGCCCGCTATCCTCGACGCCTCCTGGCGCGTTCGCCAGGCTGTCAGCAAGGCGAGCACGCCGGGCTACATCCCCGCCAGGATCGCCCTCGCCGCTTCCCTTCCTGACCCTACGATGGAAGGCAAGGCCTTCATGAAAGCGCTCCAGCCTGGCCACGCTGGGCTTGGCTGCAGCGTCTGGACGCACATGGGCGCGGATGTGGACTTTGGGATCCCGGGCACGGGGGGTAGGGCTGACTACGTGCGCAAGACGTGGTCTGCCAACGACGGCAGCATGAATATCATGCAGCGTCGTGGTGTTACCAAGGGCGATGCTCCTTGGGAGGTCCTTCTTGCTCTGAGGGAGGATGATATGGAGAGGATCTGTGGGCCGAATGAGCTTGGTCGCTGGGCGTCTACGTGGTGCGCCTGAGTATAAGAGATGTGGAGGTTTCCATTTCAGGGAAGGACGAGGGGGGAAACAAACAATAATGAAGACAAGTATTTCTTGTTGTTTCGGGCGAGGATGCCTTCAACGATAAGTCGAATCGCTGTGTTGATAATCGCGGCAAGTATGAAGTTATTGTGTTACTTTGGCGGAAGCATCGCCTGGGCTTACGATATCGATGAAAGAAGAGTGTTCAAGGCACCCCGGAATATGCTGCATGGCTTGCGCCACGCACTGGATTCCCGTTTGGCGTATTTGGGCTGCTTGACGAGGAAGAATAAGATACCAAGAATTTCATGGCATCGAGATTTAAAGAGGAAAGAATCAGGCGTTATGTCTTTCTATACGAAATGGGAAGCTTGTCTTGTGCTTCTACTTACCTAGGCAAGAGAGCTCGGCTCTAAACTAAACAATGCAAGAAACTGTTGACAGAATGATGTTCTATCTTACCTCAATACAAATGCCATGGCTTAGACTTTCAACCGGCCCGAATAGCCTAGGTATTCATCCTAAACAAGGTCGATTAGGAAGGTGAAGAATTGCCCACAACGATCGTGAACACCCATTGACCCTCGCCTTTAAGTATTATCAGGAAAGTTTCGGCAGAAAGATCTAATGAGCTCGCTTCAGTCCTAAGTATCAATCGGAAATAGGTAGCCACTAAATGATGTTCCTGGACCTCACCAAGACTCTTGTCGTTGATAGTGGGGTGACCCGCCACATTTACGCATCCACTCAATGCAGCGTTGTATCCTCGATACTCTGATAGGTCGGAATGGTGGAGTGACTATCTTCATTGACCCTACAGCTGCAGCCCTTCCTACGTGGACTTTTACCTCAGAATGCTCAATATTCACAAGTCAATAGAGCCTCGGCTGATGTTATTCCCGTAATCTTGAATATCGGAGTCGTTTGCTACAGTAACTGGTCTGCATAAGATAGTAAAGTATGTCGCATCCTTGAGAAATTCCAGGACTGATACTTCATGCCATGCACTGGTTGCCGTAGCTGCCAAAGAAATAACCCACTTTCTTCTAGAAAAATCCGACCGCAGGAATTTTTTTCTGTCGCCCGCTTCTTCCAATCGGCAGCCCCCACGAGGTGGAGCACCTGTTCATATCAACCTTGAAGATTCATGCGGATTGGACTTGACGTCTGAACCAGTCTCCGAGTTCCCGTGGTCTGATCGGGGTCTCCGGGAGAATGATCGGAGCGAACAAGCCGGATCGGGGCAAGCCGAGTCGTGACGCCATTTGACTTATCGGGTGCGGTGTGGCCGTGCTTGTGCTAGGTTGCCATTCCCCCCAGGAAGAGGGAGGGAAGAGAGTTATGAACTGACTGATGGTTGGCGAGGGGGGACGGTTCCCGCATTCCCCGGCTTGCGCTGCCCGGTTGA